CCATCCATCATCCATCCACCCATCATCCATCTATCATCCATCCATCCACTCATCATACATCAACTATCCATCAACCATCCTTCATCCATCCACCCATCATCCATCAACCATCCATCCACCCATCAACCATCCATCAACCATCCATCATCCATCCACCCATCATCCATCCATCCACCCATCATCCATCCATTATCCATCCATCCACCCATCATCCATCAACCATCCATCATCCATCCACCCATCATCCATCTATCATCCATCCATCCACTCATCATACATCAACTATCCATCAACCATCCTTCATCCATCCACCCATCATCCATCAACCATCCATCCACCCATCAACCATCCATCAACCATCCACCCATCATCCATCCATAATCCATCTATCCACCTATCATCCATCCATCGTCCATCCATCCATCCATCATCCATTTGTCCACCCATCAACCATCCATCATCCATCCATCCACCCATCATCCATCAACCATCCATCAAACATCCACCCATCAAACAGCCATCATCCATCCACCCATCCATCATCCATCCATCCACCATTCATCCATCCATCCATCCATCCATCCACCATTCATCCATCCATCCATCCACCCATCATCCATCCATCCATCATCCATCCACCATCCATCCATCATCCATCCACCATCCATCCATCATCCTTCCATCCATCCATCCATCCATTATCGATCCATCCATCCACCCACAATCCATCTATCCATCCATCCATCCACCCACCCACCATCCATCCATCCACCCACCATCCATCTATCCATCCATCCATCCATCTATCTATCCATCCATCCATCCATCTATCCATCATCCATCCATTATTAGCTATTTTTATGTATAATTTTTTCTGTGAATCATGAAAACTGTGGCTGTAGGAAGAAGTTGACTATGAAATCTTTCTAATCCCAACAGCTCTCACTCTAGGTCACATGACTCAGAGTGTCAGTGTGTTCCTGTGAGGTTTTTTGAAGGTATTTCACAGTGATAACATGAAACGCCACTAAAAGTAATAGCTTCGCAGTGCCTTCCTCTGCTCTCTCATTCATTTGATGTGGCAAACCCTAAAAATAAAATTAAAATGTTAGGAGGTCACAAGAGGTGAGTTTATACTCATCCATCTTCTTTACTTTTTATTTATTTATTTATTTATTTATTTATTTATTTATTTATTTATTTATTTATTTATTGTTCCTGTGCAGCTACTTGGACAGCCTAGACCGGATCGGTGCGGCTGACTACCAGCCGACAGAGCAGGACATCCTGCGGACCCGGGTGAAGACCACGGGCATCGTCGAGACGCACTTCACCTTCAAAAACCTTCACTTCAGGTCGGTAACACTGAAACTTGTCTGTCTGCTCCACGTTCCTGACGCCCAGCTACAACTCCACGCTGTGATTAATCAGAGGAACCGTTTAAACAAGCTTCCATATTTATGATTCTCTGTCGTCTTAACGAGGTCGGATCCAATTAGAGCTGAGAGCTGAGGGAGTGATGGCTGAGAGGGAGCCGGCGTGGGACCATGGAGGATTAATCAATGCTAAGAAAAGGAGCCAAACATTAGCTCACATTACTCAAACAGATGCTAAAATTAAGAAAACCACAGCTACAAGTAGCTTAACAGTTGCTAAAATTATTGTAATGAATGCCAAAATAAACAAAACAGTAGCTTCAATTATTTAAATGTATGCTAAAATTGTGATTTGCTAAACAATATCTAAAGGTATAAAAACAGATGATTGAGTTAAAAATCACTAAACAGTAGCTGAAATGAGCAAACCAGATGCTAATATGAACAAATTCTTAAATGAGCTAAACGTTTGCTAAAATTAGCAAAACATACTGATATAAACAAATATTAAAATGAGCTAAACTGTAGCTAAAATTAGCAAAGCATGCTAATATAAACTTAATAAAATGCTCTAAACTGTAGCTAATATTAGCAAAACAATTGCTAACATAAGCGAATACTAAAATGAGCTAAACTGTAGCTAAAATTAGCAAAACATGCTAAAATAAACAAATAAATTAGATTAAACTGTAGCTAAAATTAGCAAACCATACTGATATAAACAATACTAAAATTAGCTAAACTGTTGCAAAAATTAGCTAAACAGGCTAATATAAACATTACTAAAATGAGCTAATCTGTAGCTAAAATTAGCTAAACAGGCTAATATAAACAATATTAAAATGAGCTAAAATTAGCAAAACAGGCTAATATAAAAAAAATTTAAAATGAGCTAAACTGTAGCTAAAATTCACAAAACAGTTGCTAATATAAGCAAATCTAATGCTAATTTTAGCTTAACGGAATGTAAAAGCTAACAGAAGTAGAGCAGTAGCCTAAAGTAGTAAGAAAAAATAAACACTAGATGTGTCCTGCTCTGAGTGGGTTTTTAACGACTTTACTTTAAACAAAGATAAATATTTGAAAAAGTCATAAAATTAAAGTCTGTAAAACACATTTCCTGTTGAATCTGAACATTTGTGGTTGGTTAAAACAACACAACGTGTGCAGAAGTATTTTTGGTTGAAACAGGAAGCCAGCGGTGAGAATGCTGACTCAGCGTTTCAAACTGGTCGAGTCATGTTCTGACCGTCTGTTTTCACACCTCTGATCCAGTTATTTTAATGACTGATGTTGTAGTGTCAGCCTCTCCTGACTTTGTTGTTGTTGTTGTTGTTGTTGTTGTTGTTTACACACGTCAGGCTGCACAGACATGACCGTCCTGCAGAACCTCAGTCGTCTCGGTTCTGTTTGTTCTGTTCAGACCTACAGCTGGGCTGCAGCGTGTGGGAGGAGCTTCTGTTCCTGAGTAGGGTGGAACCCGACAGCCCACCTATCATTACAGCCGACTCACACACACACACACACACACACACACACACACACACACACACACACACACACACACACTTTTTACCATTCTCAGGTCATTCCGTAGAGACCAAAATTGTT